AAAAAAAAAAAAAAAAAAAAAAAAATATACAACAGGGAAAAAACAGTCTCTTCAATAAGTGGTGGCGGGAAAACTGGACAGCCACATGTAAAAGAGTGAAATTAGAAACATTTTCCATACCATATGCAAAAGTAAACTCAAAATGAATTAAAGACCTAAATGTAAGGCTGGAAACCATAAAACTCACAGAAGAAAACATAGGCAGAACGCTCTTTCATGTAAGTCACAGCAATATTTTTTTGATCTGTCTCCTCAGGTAAAGGAGAGAAAAACAAAAATAAATAGCTAGGACCTAATTAAATTTAAAAGCTTTTGCACAGCAAAGGAAACAACTGACAAAATGAAAAGACAACCTACGTAAAGGGAGAAACTATCTGCAAATGATATGACTGAAAGAGGTTAATATCCAAAATATATAAACAGCTCATACAACTCAACATCAAAAAAAACCCCAAACAACCCAATTTAAAAATGGGCAGAAGAACTGAATAGCTATTTTTCCAAAGGAGACATACAGATGGCCAACAGGCACATGAAAAGATGCTCAACATCGCTAATTATTAGAGAAATGGAAATCAAAACCACCATGAGGTATCACTTCACATTGGTCATAATGGCCATCATAAAAAAGTCTACAAATAATAAATGCTGGAGAGGGTGTGGAGAAAAGGGAACCCTCCTACAATGTTGGTGGGAATGTAAATTGGTACAACCATTATGGAGAACAGTATAGAGGTTCCTTACAAAACTAAAAATAAAGCTATCATATGATCCAGCAATCCCCCTCCTGGGCACATATCCAGAAAAGACAAAAAACTCTAATTCAAGATGATACATGCACCTCAATATCCACAGCAGCACTATTTACAATAGCCAAGACATGGAAGCAACCTAAGTATCCACCAACAGATGACTGGATAAAGAAGATGTGATGTATATTATACAATGGAATACTCTCAGCCATAAAAAAGAATGAAATTTTGGCATTTGAAATATCATGAATAGACCTGGAGGGTATTATGCTTAGTGAAATAAGTCAGACAGAGAAAGACAAATACTGTATATTATCATTTATATGTGGAACCTAAAAACTAAAACAAATGTATATAACAAAAGAGAAACAGACTCACAGGTATAAGGAACAAACTAGCCATTACCAGTAGGGAGAGGGATGGGGTAGTGGCAAGATAACAGTAGGCAATTAAGAGATACATACTATGTATAAAATAAACAATGCATGAACAATACAAGGATATACTTGTACAGCACAGAAAATACAGCCAACATTCTAATGATAACTTTAAATGGAGTATAATCTACAAAAATAGTGAATAACTACACTGTACACCTGTAACTAATGTAATATTGTAAATCAAGTATACTTTAATTAAAAAATGTGAAAAGCAAAAAAAATTAGAAGAAACATTTAAAACGAAAAATCTGAAACAAAATGGCAAAATGGTAACATTTACTGAATCTGAGTAGTTCCTATATGTTAAATTATTTTCTGTAGTTTTATGCGTGTTTGAAATTCAAAAATTCCTGCTATATCTGTAATAATTACCCTGTATCCCACATCTTCCACAACATCACATGAAGCTGCATTGTCATTCGTGTGCCACACTGTCTCTTTGATGCTGCAGCCATACATAAATACATTCTTCTTTCGGGAGTGGCCATGATAATCACAATAAACCTTGAAAAGATAATATATGTTAAAAATAAAATCCTTCAAATTCACATATTGCCAAGTAAAGCTAGCTAATATGAAGCCAATAAACAGTTCTGTGTTCCTTTGTCCTTTTATTGTAACTGAGCCACCATTTAACAAGTAGAATCAATAAAAGTAATAATACATATCTACTTCTGGAAAGGATCTATGATTAATCCTAGAATAGCTAAATCCTTTGCAGGTAGGTCCTGCATCAAGCCACGAGTTCCACTCTTTCTTTTGTATCTACTATTCATCACTTAAAAAATAATAAATTCAATTATAGGTCAAATCTACAGCTGCACTCATCACTGCCCCAAGGGTTGTTAAAATATTTACCTAATTTAAGAGAACATAAAAAATGCTTTCATGAAAAACATTTTAAAAGGGGTATGGTTTCCCTTTAATTTTTAAGAGCATCATATTAAAAATAGAAAATGGACAGATTTGCATGCCAATTTTGCCCCTCTGCAAAGTGTTCTATCTTTCCCAAAGGAAGATTAACTCATTTAAAGATTAAAATAATGGAAACATTCTAAACAAAAGTTGCTGAAAACAGAAGAAATACACATACACAGTTCAGGAGAGCCTCCCACCATGCCTATATTACCTTTCCTATGTGTATAGTTGAGACTTACCTGCTTTAGAATTAGCTAACGAGCTCAGAAATGAGTTTCTACTAGTTTTAGAATTTGGAAGATACCTATTGTACTTTTACCTTGATATTGTTCAAACAGTGAAGTTAAATAACTAAAACTTACAGCCAGGAGTTACCACTATTCATAAACAAAACAGAAAAGTAAAGGGCTCATGAGAATTATAAAAATTAAATCTAATGAAATAAGAATATGGATACACTGTATTAATTTGACAACATAATTAATACACAAGTGATAGATAACAAAGATGTTTTAAAGAAACTGCTTTTGAAATTAACACCCAGCTTTTATAACCAGAAAATAATCTACAAAATACTAACTTACAACAAAATCACCTCTTTGACTATACAAACAAATATTGCCACTTACCAGTGGTAAATGCTTCACTGCAGCCAGATATTGCAGCAGACCCTTGGCATGATAAATTGTAGGATGTAAATCTGGATTTGGACTTTGCCACTGTCTATTCAAATCCTCTCCACTTAAAGAACAGCGGTGACTACACATATGTAAACACAATGACAAACATTGGTACCAATAAACTCTTACATACACTTGATTTAATTTTATGATTCTATTCTACTAAATATTTCAAACAGGTATAAATGGTGTGCTCACCAGAATGCATATTATAGTCAGTAAGTAAACATTTATTTAGCATTTGCTATGTGCAAGATCTTGTGTTACATGCATTTAACTGTGGTAAGCTTGCAGTTTTATAAGTCAAAATTTTCAAGCTATAGGAAAAATTCTCCATTCTGGGGTTTTGTTCCATATACCATAAAATTTATTCATGGTCATATTTTCCATTCTGACTACATAATAATCATTTCTTATGCTAACATTCTGTATTTTGATTGTATCGGTTATTATTAAAAATGCTATCTGGTCCCTCCTTCTAAGAAAGATAAGTATTGTGTATGAAAAGCACACATTCTTGCAAAAATTCAAATACAGTTTCATTAATCATAGGTATTAAGTATTAAAGCCACTGAGCAAAAATTTAAGCAAATGGTCATAAGGTGATAACAGAAATATAAACAGAATTCTAACTGGTCAATATGTTTCTGAATTAAAACTAGACATAAAATCTCATTTTAGTTCCATAATCATACTACCTAAACAGAAATTATTCTATTTTTTTAATTCAAAACTTTCCTAAATATTCATGGTTCTTTTATTGAGTAAATAAATATGGTGTCCTCAACTTTGGAGATGCTCATGACAGTTAGACTAACTCCCCCCTTTCAGAAGCATTAAAGAGACCTTGGTCTAATTGACACAATAAATGAACTGTACCAACTATAAGCCACCTCCACTTAAAAAGTAACGTTCCAGTATTTCCACTCTAAAGAATTCCTACTCATATCAAGAAGAGGTTAGCAGATGGAGCCAATATTCCATATTGGTGGAAAGAGATCCCAGAAGATTCTAAATCTTAAAACAACCTAAGATCATGCCATGTCAAATAAAAAGGACTATAAGAGGATGTGCTAAAAATCTTTTTCATATCCCAATACTGTAATTTTTCTAAAACAATTCAAGCAGACATATATTTTATAAAATCATATTCTCATGAATAGATACAGAATTTCTCAAAATATCATAGTACTAATAATTTACAAATTATATTTTCATTTAAAAATTTATCAGATTAATTCTTCACTAAATTTTTTTTTGTTCTAGAAAAATCACTAGATTTGTTTTTGAAATTAATGTGGATGCTATTATTTCAACAAGTTTATACAGGACAGCCACAACAATCTATAATATTTCTATAACTATTGCTTAACTTACTTTCCATTGATGACACCATCTGGATTTAGCATAGGGACAATTTTAAAAATATAGGATTCTCGTAAGCTCTGAGCAGTAGGGTTATTACTCATGAGATACTCCAATGTTCCTTTCATTACCCAACTTGCATTAGTCTCTCCAGGATGCACCCGAGCAGATAAGAAAACGTAAGGGCGATTTCCTAAAGTAGACATAAAACCTCAAATTAAAATGAACGTCTACTAAAAGTCTGTATGATGTTTGACTTTGGGGCTTTAGAAATATTTCTACTCAATTGTGAATACTGATATAAAGTCAAAGTAGAACTCACTGTGCACCTACTATATACAAGCACTATACTAGGCCCACTAGAGAAAACAGATATAAAACCCATATAAGTCATGTCTTATATGAACATAACACATTAAATAGCATTTGAGTCATTTATTTCACAATGATTAATCTAACATATAAAATTAATTTTTTAATATTATCTTGGTTTCATAAAGAACAAGTATCTGGGGAAAATAGATGAAATATACATTTATTTTGCATAAAGTCATGGAAAAAAGAAGGAAAATATCTTATTCCTGTTTTATAGTCGCTATGATAAGCACAGAACAATAGGTATATCTGCTCAGAGATTTACAAAGAAAAATATTTTTCACTATACATTTAGATATACAGGGCTACAAAATAACCATTCAGTTCACCTGCTCATATTTTCATGAATAGCAAGCTCTTTCTCTTTCCTGAAAATATTTTACCTTCTTAACAAAATTAGAACAGTTTTCTTATATGTATATATATTTTTTACCATAGCTGTACATTTGAGGCAACTTTAAAAACATAAATGGCAGGGAGAAACAAGTAGCTATTCAGTACTAGCATCAAAATACTTGATAGGTTTATGGTAGTTTTATTTATAAATAAAATTAATTGTAAAGTCTTAAACTGATGGTATAATTTGTTATACTATACTTTGGGTATGACTTCTAAGAATAAGAACTACAGAATATTAGTATCAAGAGACCTCAGAGGTCATCTCAGGCAGCTCCCTCATATGAGGAAACTGAGGCCCAGAAGTGGGCCCAAGCTAGGCAGTAACAGGACCCAGACTAGAACCCAAGACTTCTGATGCCTATTCCTAGTACTAATGCCCTTACAAAATAGTCATGAAGCAAAGAAAAATAAGTAAGAATGATTGGTATTGTGAGTGAAGAAGACAAACTTACTGAATTGACAGATATGTTCATAATAATTAGACTCTGGCATTGCTGTTATAGTCACCAAGGGACAGCTGTTTCCAGACAGGGTTTCACATAACACATCTTTTCGAAAATAGATTTGCTGAGGATTGTGTGCTGATTCCAATTTTTGAAGATGCATCTTAATAAAAATTTAAAAGCAAAGTATATAATCATTTAAAAACTCCCTATGATAAACAGAAATAAATGCATCCAGATCTTGAACATAACTAAAAGTGAATCAGATTCCTAATCCCTTCTCCAGGGATTAGGGTCCAGATGCAGTTAAATATCAGTATTTGGGAATTTGAGAAAGGGGATAGATACAGTTTGGATACCCTTAATAGTGCGATATAACCAGTGGGGTCAGCAGCAGCAGCCTGTAAATAAGCACATTAGTATTTCTGTAGCAAAGCATATGAAGAGTGACGCTAAGTGGAATCAATATTCTAAATAAGCTCACATCAATTCAGGCCAGGCTTTGCTGCCAAATGTGTTATAAAAATGCTTTTGGTTTTCAAAGGCTTCTGAATGTTGAAATTTTGTGACTATAGATCTGTTAACGGCAACCTAAAATATGAAGAATGAATATTATGCAGCACAAATTTTTTAACAATCTTTCCTGATTCCAAGATTAATAAAGGCTCATTGTAAAATGTCTGGAAGACACAGAAAGTACAAGAAAACATTTTAAACACCCATAATTGAATCACCTAGATTACTACTAACAAAGGCCAATATATATAAAGAAAACTGTAATTACATGTAAGACTTTTTATAATCTGATTTTATCACTTAATAATTTATACATTCACATTAAGATATTCATAATTATAAATATTATGCCATATCATTAAACATGTTGAATATATGTCTTTTGAAAACACAAGTTTTAATGGTTTTAGTATATGGTCACACCAAAAATAAATTGTTCAATCCCTTATTTTAAAGATACTTAGTTGGTTTCCAAACTTTTGCCTATGTTCATTCACATAATCATGATTTACCATGAGGTCACTATTTCTGGGCTGGAAACTGTGCCAGGCATTGGGGATATAACAATGAATAAATGGTCCCTACGCTAGAAAAAATATACAGTGCTATGAGAGCTTGAAATAAAGGGAAGGGAGCCTCGCAGAGTCTGGGCAGGGAGGAAAGGTCTTCTAGAAAAAAATTACATTTAAAGTGAGATCCAAAGGATGAGTGGAATGGATATAAAGTGCACTGTAGGCAGAAGGAAAGCATACAGGAAGACCATGAAATAAGAAAAAAGAAGGACATTTCAAAGAACTGAAGAAGATTCATTATAGCTAGACCAGAAAGAAAAGGGTAAGAAATCGAGAATTTAACACAGAAGGAAGGGCCCGGTAGACCAGTCCTTCCCAAAGCATAGTATTTGGTAATTAAGATAACTAAGTGATATGTGGATAACCTTGAAAAAAATTTTAATAGATATGTATTTTACTGTGAATTAGAAAAAAGTTTAGCACATTAAACCTGTAATTCCACAGATATTAACTTAGGATGAGGATAATCTTTAAACAGTGAATTACTTTAAAGTCTACTTAAAAATAAATATTAAGTAAATAACAGTTCAAACAGTATGAAGAAATGGCCAAAACTGTGCAAAATAGTGGAGAAATGACTGAATGAGCTACGGTAAGAATTTTAGACTTCCTACAAATGGCAAGAGAAATCACTAAGGAATTTTAAGGAGCAGATTTATATGACTAGATTTGCCATCAAAGAGCTCTCTTGCTACAGTGTGATAAAACAGTGATGAAGAGGAAAGGGGATACAAGTGAATTTTGGAACACCAGTTAGAAAGAGGTTGGCATAAGTCCAGGTGAGAAACAATGGTAATGCGTGGAAAAAGTCATGGTAGTGGGACTGGAAGAAAGTAGGGGCATTTAAAATATACTAAAAAGGTAACATCAGTAAAGGACAGTAACAAATACCATGTAAATAACAACACTATATTTCCCATGCTATGTTATTCAGCACAGAAACATATCGGTTTATACCTTTACTGTAGGTTGGAACCTTACTAAAATAAAGTGAGCCTCATTTAATGTTCTTGGCCTTGACATTTCTTCTGCTCTATGGACTATGTTTTTCTCTCATTTTCTCCTCTCTCATAATTTGGAAGCTCGTTTCTAATCAGAGTGTTCCAATTCCTTTCTGGGTAAATTGATCATACGAAGCTTCATGATCCTTGATCATTAGGACAGACATTCTGTTCTGAGTATAAATCTGCCATGCTAATTACTTGAATTTTTTTGTTTTACAACGCAAATAATCAAAAAATCTCAAAAGAACCCACAAAACAACTCTTATACCCCATATTCTAAGCAATCTGGATCTAGGACTCCATATGAAACCATCAGAAGAAATGAATTCACAACAGAAAAACTTAAATTGCATATACATTTTCTACTGTTATATTTTCTGTGAGATTCAATGCTTTTCATTAAACAAGTAGAAATCTCACCTAGTTAAAATTTATAAATTGTGATTTGTAGATTTCTACCCAAAGTGAAAAGTAAAAATCATGTCATATTTCCATAGTATTTCTATTAAATAAAAATGAAGACTACATTCCCATTTTACTTTAATGATTTCAACAAATATTGTATTATTTTCTAAAGTCATCAACCCTGAATCTTTTAATCTTATTTAGATATTGGATTAAAGCAAATTTTCTTCAATTATCTGACACATACACATATAACACAATAATGGTCACAGTACAACTTAATGAGTTCTCACCTGTAAAGTTGAATACGTATATGGATAGTGATAAGCAAAATAGCACACATCATCTTTATGTGGAAAAATGACAGTGAAGGTAATTGTATAGTAGGATTTTCCCTTTTGCCCACCTGCAGCAATTGAACTTCTTGAGAAGTGATTTCTGCAACAGAAATGCATGTTTATTTCATCCACACCAAAATTCTGATTTTTCTTGCTATTTTAGTAAACAGAACTTCAGAAAAAAAAAGAAAAAAGAAAAGCCATGGTTTGTAAAAAAGTTTAACTTAAATACTCTTAAAAATCAGACTTGGGGGACTTCCCTGGTGGGCTAGTGGTACAGAATCTGCCTTACAATGCAGGGGACGCAGGTTTGATCCCTGGTCACGGAACTAAGATCCCACATGCCGTGGGGCAACTAAGCCCACGTGTCATAACTACTGATCTCGCATGCCTCAACTAGAGAGCCTGAGTACCGCAAACTACAGAGCCCACGCGCTCTGGTGCCCGCTTACCACAACTAGAAAGAAGCCTGTGTGCCACAGTGAAAGATCCCGCGTGCTGCAACTAAGACCTGATGCAGCCAAAAAGAAATTAAATAAATAAATAATAAATCTCTAAAAAAAATCAGTATGTTGTTTAAAACAAAAATTAGACTTGGTACTAAAAAAGCAGTTAATTGCTATCAGCCAACATCATGACTTTCCACTTCTGGATTTACTAATTAAATAGAGCTACTACTCTATACATCAATAGAAGTTTTAGACCCCCATTCTTTGATAGCCATACACATTACTGGATCCAGGCAGTGATCACCAATGGCTGCTACAACCATTGGATGAAAGGCTGACGGATCAGACAACAATACCTGAATTCACTGATCAATTTTAAAATTACAAAAGAAGAAATAACCAGAGATGATATGTTTCCTAATATGATGCAACAGGAATTCCCTGCACCATCTATGAAGTACTCTTGTCAAAAATGAAACCTGAAACTGATCAAGCTTCTACATCTAACTATGAGTTTATAGGAGATTGGTGAGATAGAAGAATTCATTAACACCACAGGGATGCAATCAGCAAAATCCAAACTGCAGAAAATCCTGCATGACAAATGATCTAATTTCTTCAATAAATAAAGGAGAAATTTAAAAATAGAGAAGAAGGAAGCCTATAAATCAAGAGACTTAAAGGACATACGTGTGATCCCTTGGTTGGTCTGATTTAAACAAACCAACTATAAAGTAACATTTATGAGACAAGTAAGTCTGAACATTGACTGGATATTTTATCATATTAAGGAATTTTCTTAGGTGTGACAACGGCCTTGTGGTTAGATTGTCTTAAATATGTATCTCAAAAAGACAAAGACCTTTGAAGTATTTATGGATAAAATATATCTGGAAAAAAATAAGGATAAATTATGTCTTAAAAAATTCAGTGTGGAGGTAGGGGTGAAAGTATAGCTAAAATGAAACCATGTGTTGATAATTGTTGCAACTCAGTGATGAATACATGGGGCCTCATTATTCTATTATCCGCTTTTGTAAATGTTTGGAGATTTCCATAATAAAAAGTTTTTAAAACTACATATTACTTTCCAGACTTTAAATATCATTGAGATATGATGACCTAAAGATGCTTTGGTCTATCAACTTCATTTCTAAAATTCCAAATCACCTTGTATTATTTAAGCCATGAACTGAAAAAAAGCCATGGCCTACAGATTACTTATTCATGCACACAGACATTCAAGGTAGATCACAACCGTAGAACTACCCTGGGATCAGACCTTCTAATATAATCTTATAAAAATCAAGCTTGCTATTAATGAAAATAAAAGAACACTGATGTAAAAGAATGGTAGAGTCTTCATTAACTCAGCCACTATCTTGAATAGATACTCAATGACAAGGTGCTAAGAGTTGAGGAAAATGCAAAATAAGGTCCGGAAGTAGATCCTGCCAACTCTTTCACTCCAAAAGCTTAACATCTAATTGTGGAGGTATTTATGTCACCATATTACAGCTACATGGCATTTTATAGGTTATATTCACTCACATACTCGTGGAAAGTAGTTTTATTCTCATCTTACAGATGAGACAAACAAGTATCAAAGGACAGTGCAAAAATAGTAGTTTTTAATCCCCACTATCTGGATTTCAAGCTTGAGGAAAGCAACTAGAACAGTGCTTGTTACATAGAAAGTGGTTAATAAATATCTGCTGAATTGGCCTGAATTCCAATTCCAGATCTGGAAGTAGCCAAAAGAAAAAATAAAAACTAAACAAACAAAAATCCTTGCCATCACCCCTTACATAAAAAAAGAAAAACCACCTGAGATGCTATGACGATTCACTTTACAGTGTGAAAGAGAAAAGCATTCATTGATTGATGATTTCTATTGTGCAAAAGAAAAGCATGAAATACTTTTTGAAAAACACTGTTTCACCCTTTAACAATTTAAATCATTCTGCCAAAATCTAACCAAGCACTTCCCAGATAATCACTGCTCCACTCCAACTTATGAGAAAAAGATAAATGATAAAGTATATTTATATTAGCCTACCATTAAAAGAAATATGAAATTCATTCAGGTGAAGAAGAATTACATATAACCTTATGCTTCTTTCCCTCATTTATTTACTATTTATTTTGCTAATAAAATGGGGAAAACCCTACTGAGATTAATTCCAAGGAACGATTTCTTTCTTAGAAAGCAATAGCACTTAAGATCTAGGTTTTTCCAAAACCCTATCTAAACCACTGAAAACAGTTTAATTTTAGAATTCTTCTTCTTCTAACGGATAAAACTAAAAGAAAAGGAACAATAGTGCTAGTTAAGCACAATATAAAATATAAAAAGTCAAAATCCACTAAACAGAAATGCCAGGATTAAGATTAATAACAGAGAAAAACAGGGATGTCAAGTGCATTCAATAGTGGATAGAAGTTATCTTAAAGTGTATTACATGCAGAAACAGTAAAAATGGGAAGCAAGGCATACGGTAATCCTAGATTACTTAGTCATGAATTGAAGAATAATCCAATTATTCCACTGAAGCAATTAATGATTTCTAGGGCTTCCCTGGTGGCGCAGTGGTTGAGAGTCCGCCTGCCGATGCAGGGGACGCGGGTTCATGCTCCGGTCCGGGAGGATCCCACGTGCCGCGGAGCGGCTGGGCCCGTGAGCCATGGCCGCTGAGCCTGCGCGTCCGGAGCCTGTGCTCCGCAACGGGTTAGGCCGCAACAGTGAGAGGCCCGCGTACCGCAAAAAAGAAACAAGAAAAAAAAAAAAAAATGATTTCTAGCACTTATTTTAACTTGATAAATAGATCACCTATTTGAAGTCAAAGTTGAACTGTGAAAGAAGTAGTAATGTAATTGTGGAATACATCTCCAAGTAAAATATTTTGGAAGTTAAAATGAGGTAAACATTTGTGTGCAGAAGAGAAAAGAATTACACTTAATATCACCAGAATAATAAAAAAAACCACTGTAAATTATTTCCTAGAGTTTCTAATTTCAGTCTTACTCAATGAAGTTTCCAGAGTTTTAAAGCTAAAAAAGTTGAGAACATATCTAAGTGGGGGAGGCAAGATTTGGACCTAAGTCTGTCGTCTGTCTACAAAACACATTTTATTTCCACTAAATATACCCCCATAATGGATCTCAAATTTTTAAAAACTCTGTTGGAAGTAATACTAAACCATATCACCAAATTCAAAGAACAGAATAACTTTTTATCTTTGAACTGAAATAAGATGAATTAATATTTCCTTCTGTAAACTGATGTCCTATTACTGTCAGGATACTTACTTATAGTAACAAATGTCAGTCCCCACACGAATCCACCATGGTCTAGCATTTAACGCTTCCTGAACCGAATACATGAGTGGTTGCATACCTTTGACAGAAAGAAAAGAAGAGAAAATTCTTTTCAGAATTTTTGAGTTAAAAATTAATCTTGCCATTGTAGGAAGCACCAAACATTCAGGAAAGCTAAAAGAAAATACATTTTGGTTTTTCAGTATGCACTTAAAAAATCCGAGATCTCTCTTTAAAATCTCCTAAATCAATCAACGATATGTTTTATTTCTAGTTTTAACTAAAATGGAGTTACAACTTCAATGAGTGAAAAGTCATTAAACATTTTTCTATGATCTTTTCTATATTAGATCAATTATATACATTATAATTATAATGTATAATTATATATAATATATAAAAATTATATATATGTAATACATATTACACTAAAAATTATACATATATTCCTTACAACAAGTGAAAGAGACAAAAATATATATTAAATTAAGTATGATCACCCCTCTAACTCTCCACAGATTCCCATCTACACCAAGGTAAGGAAAACAATGCCACTAAAATGGCATGACTGTTTTCTTCTTCAGCCTTCTCCATACACATGGGTGTTTATAGCATGGAGAAGGAGAGGGGATGAGGAGGAAGAGGGACTGTTAACAAAAACAGAATTAAATATATAGTATATTTTCTTAGGTAGTTTTAGAAATATACTTTCCACATGCACTTTAAAGTCATTTTAAAGGTTTCTAGGTTTCTAACAGGAATTAATGAAATTCATATGTTAATTTTGGAAAGGTTGACAATTTTTATTGAGATCTCGTTCAACTTTCATTTCTTCATTTTCTTGCTACAGAACCATTATGTTAAACTTATCTCTGAGTATTTTTATGAGTCTTTAATAGTCTCTTGGGTTTTCTAGGCATACAAATCATATCATTTGTAACTTAAAATATTTTATCTCCTCTTTTAGTATTTCTAACAGTTACTTTATTTTCTACTTTTATTATATTTAGAGAAATGAAACAACCTCAAAAACGATTCTGAATATAGTGGTAAGAACAAACTCTGTCTTGATAATTTCAATCAAAATACTTTGCCATTCAATGCAATTATTTGCCTATTGTTTTTTAACAAATCAACTTTATCTTATTTAAATAACAGAAAGAGCTAACACTGAATAATTTCTACGTGCCAAAGACTGCTCTAAGCAATTTTACATACGTTAAGTCATTAAATCCTCACAACAATCCTCTGTGGTAGGTGCTATGATTATTCCTATAACTGGAGCAGTTTCTCCCATAATTCTTATTATATTTAAGTGTTTTTAATCATTTCATCAAATGCCTTTTCAGCATCCAGTAACAGAATCACATGGCTTTTCTCCTTTAGCCTCTTGATGCAATAAATTGATAGATTTCCTATTGTGAACTATCCTTGCATGCCAAGAAAATGCTATTCTTTTACTGCTGTATGATTAAATTAGCTAAATCTCATTTAGAATTTCTGTATTTAAAAACTGGTCTTTAAAAAGAAACTACCTTTACCAAGCATTGGTATAATATTATACTAGCTTCAGAAAAACATACTAAAATGCTGTCCATCACTTATTAGAATAAAAGTAAAATCTATTTTTTTAGAAGTAAATATAATTTAGCTGGAATATCATCCTGATATGGTGACTAATAAATACACTTTTTATTTCCTTTTCAACAGTTATAGTCTGTTCAGAATCTTTACTTTTTTCAATCAATTTCAGTATTTCTATGTTTTGTCTATTTCTATCTCATTATTTTCAGCATTTAAAAAAATTCTCTTCTCTATCCTTTTGGTTTTATTTTTTGTTTTTCTAATATCTTGAGTACTTATTTTTTGAGTACTTAAAAACTGAGTACTTGAGCAATAACTTATTTTCAGTCTTTTTTTATTTTAAATAATGCAGTTATTAAAGGCATTCAATTTTCCTCCAAATACCAGTTTAGCTATGTCCCATAAGTCTATAAAGTGTTCTCCTTTGCTATACTTTCTAGATCAGAGCCATCCAATTAAACTTTCTGCCAGAATGGAAATGTTCAATATCTGCACTGTCCAATGTGGCAGCCACCAGCCATGTGTGGCTATTAAGCACAGGAAATAAGCCTAGTGCCACTAAAGAACTGAATTTTAAATTCTCACGATAACTGTCTTCTAATCAGGTTGTAATTCTCGGAGCTTTTGCTCTACCTATGTGGGTACCATGTGGTTATGGCTGTTGTATTGTATAAGAGGTTAGTGTTCTGTATAGCAAATGAAACCATCAACAAAATGAAACAGCAACCTAACAAATGGGAGAAAAATATTTGCAAATCATATATCTGATAAAGGGCTAATATCCAAAATATATGAAAAACTCATAAAACTCAATAGCAAAAAAACACACAATCTAATTGAAAAGTGGACAGAGGATCTGAACAGACATTTTCCAAAGAAGATATACAGATGGCCAACATATACATGAAAAGGTACTCAACATCACTAATCATCAGGAAAATGCAAATCAAAACCACGATGAGATACCACCTCATACCTGCTAGAATGGCTATTATCAAAAAGACAGGAAATAATAAGCATTGGTGAGACTGTAGAGAAAAGAGAACCCTTGTGCACCGTTGCTGGGAATGTAAATTGGTGGAGTCACTATGGAAAACCGTATGAAGGTTCCTCAAAAAATTAAAAATAGAGCTACTGTTTGATCCAGCAGTTCTACTCCTGGGTATTTATCCTAAAAAACTAATTCAAAAAGACATGCACCACTCCCCACATGCTCATTGCACCATTACTTACAATAGCCAACACATGGAAGCAACTTAAATATCCACTGATAAGTGAATGGATAAAGAAGATGTGGTATGTATATAATGTATGTATGACTGTGTGTATGTACATAGTGGAATATTATTTAGCCGTAAAAAAGAAGGAATCCTTGCTATTTGCAACAACATGGACAAACTTTGAGGGCATTATGCTAGTAAGTAGGACAGAGAAAGACAAATACTGTATGATCTTTCATATGTGTGGAATCTTAAAAAAAAAAAAAAAAAAAAAAAAACCCAAACTCACAGATACAGAGAACAGAATGGTGGCTGCCAGAGGCAGGGGCTGGAGGGGTTAGTAAAGTGGTCAAAAGGTATGAACTTCAGGTTATAAAACAACTAAGTCATGGTGGTATAATGTAGAGCGTGGTAACTATAGTTCATAATACTACAGTGTGTATTTGTAAGTGGCTCAAAGAATAGATCTTAAGAGTTCTCATAACAAGAAAAATAAAGTGTAGTGATGGATGTTAACTAGACTTACTGTAGTGATCACTTCACAATATATACAAACATTAAATCATTACATTGCACACCTGAAACTAATACAATGCTATATGTCAATTATATCTCAATGGGGTGGAGATTTGCAATTATTATAGCATCTTCAAGGACTGCAACTTGTAAATACACAATATCCAGTCAGCACTTTTAACCCTGAATTATTCTTTGTCTGACATTAATATTACCACTTTTCCTTCACTTTATTTGCATTTACCTAGTTTATCTCTGCCCAATCATTTCTTTCAACTTTATCATTTAATTAATAAACACACACACATATTCTCTGACCCTACAAATTGTATAATTTTTGATATCTGATTTTTGAGGACATTTTGGCTCATTCATAGTCAGTAATGACAGACAAACATTTCATTTCATTCCTTCCATCTTACTTTCTTTCTACTGTTCATTAATTTTTTTTGCCTTCTTTACAACTTATTTCACTTGCTTGGTTACATTTTTCCACATTTCCTTTTCTTCTTCTATCATTTGAAAGCTTTCTTTTGTGTTTCTCAATTCCATTTCCCATCCTAATAGTTATGATTAACTGAGATTTCTCTAGTATACTATTATCATATTAAATAACTAAGCAATCCCATCAAGACACGTTAGCTTTCACTTCTCCCATATCACCCCTTTTAGAACATTTTCACTTAACACATTTTATAAATTTCAAGTCTTCTATCTTGAGATCTTTTTCCTCATTTACTTTTCTCAGAGAGGGTTCAGGGTAGCAGATTTTCTGAATTCTACATATACAAACATGCAGTTTGTTGGCCGTGACAAACAAATGACAAATTTTGCAGAAGACATTTGGCGCTCCTCTAGCTTCTAGCACCACAGATGAGAGTCCAATACTAGCCTAATTTTTCACACGCAGAACAACATAGTGATCAAGAGCATGCAGTCTGTAACCAGACTACCTGGGTTTGAATTCCCACTTTACCACATGCCATATGCATGATCCTGGTCAGATTACTAAACCACTCATGCCCCCTTTTTCTCTTCTGTGGATAACAACCATGCTAGGTTGGTTTGTTGTGCGGATTAAGAGTATCACATGTGTTAGCACTTAAAGAAGGCCTGGAACATGATAAATTTTCAATAAACATTAGCTGCTGCTATTATCAATATTATTTAAGTACTGTAACCAGTTCTTTTAAAGTGGAAGTATGTTAAGATTTTCTCTTTATATCTGAAACTCAGGTATTTCACTGGTACATATAAAAGATTCCTGTCTTCCTTATTTCTTCCTAGGAGTCAGTGAGGCATTTCAATCCGAAACTTCAACCTCTTCCAGGCACACAAAACTCATAATAATGGTAATTATAGTAAGGTGGAACAAGGTTCAGGCTGAAGTCAAAGGGCATAAAAGATTTATCTGAAGTGTTCTAATTTTATAAAAGACAATGTATTCTCTTATTACTTTTAAAATGATGGTTAATTCTGGTCACAGTGAAGGGAGCTATATTTGGAAATTCTGACTATAATGAAAACCATCTTAACAAAATAGGTTGCCCCAGTAAGAATAAATCAAATGAGGTAACTCAGATTGAATAAATCACAGTCTACTCAACCTGATACAGAAAGGCCATATTTGAGTAACTGATTTAGTCATTAGCCAAAGGATAAACTTTTACGTGTATAAAATAAATACGTTAAGAACTGTCAAGCTTGTCACTTGAATACAGACAATCAAAATATTAAACTGCCAGAGTGAAACCAACAT